ATATAACTGTTAAAAAAATCTGTAAGTTTATTGCTGGGTTCATTTTCCGCATAATTTCTAAATCATTTATTTGTTTGGTGCTGAACCTATGAAGGTAGAAACTTTTGAAAAGCATCATATCAATGATTTAGGTACCTCATCTATTTGCATGTGCCTAAAAACAGAATGTCATATATTCTGAGAAAAAAAATCTATTGGATATTATTTGACCAAAATTTTGTTAATATTTGAATAAATTATAGGAACCTTTAAAGTAAAACTGCATTAATTTCCTATTCAATTGTACTTGTTAGGAAAATTTTGTAATTGAATGTTTATTACCACCGAAATAGGTTCCTCAAGGATATATCTAGCTCTCTCTACATACATGTACATGAATATAAAGTGGACAGTTTTTATAGTTAGTCATTCCTGTCCATTTCTCCAAAGAGAATAGTTATCCAACACTGCCTACATAACCGTACGTAGAAAGCAATTTCAGTGGGGGGGGGGGGGGGGGCACAGCCATACATTTTCAGTTGGAAGGCACTATCAACTACCAAAATTTTCTTGACAAGCAAAACAAAGGGCATCAGACGTTTTCATTGAGGGGGCACAAGCGTATAGTGGCTATACTTTGTACAGTAATCTATATATCGGCAAAATTATTGGGGGGGGGGGGGGGTTCCACGGCCATGGTACGCGTTTGTCTGATAGATCTCCATGACTATAAATGAATTATTTTATGACTGTATTAGACTTGGCCCACTTGAAGTCAAAAGGGGGTGGGTGAGTGGAGATTTTAGATTGAGACATATTATCATCAAACTGATTTCCATCATGAAGATGATCAAATGAAAGAATATATACGGACATCATGGAATGATTGGTGATCTAACTAGCTTAAAAATGTTAAATTTTCATGTCTAGGAAGAGACCAAAACTACGCATGCAGTTGGAAAAAATAACTCAATTAACCTTTGTGACATGATTTTTATTCATCTTCTCTTAAAATGTTAAGTAAGGGAATTGAAACATAGGCATTTTTTATTTTTATACTTAATGCATGGATTTCTAAAATCCATAAAAACTCGTTAAATTGTGTATGCAGAAAAAAAAAGGATCGTGCTTTGAAACGCTTTGAAGATGAGGGAGAGAAAAGTAATCGACTTCGTTCTCTTTATGTTTTCTTGTATTAAGCTTTTTACCACTTTAGTGCTGATTGGTTGAAAGTGCCATATAATTTAAAATAATGAAAGAAAAAGTTGGGGCCAGTGATGTAAAGAAGATGGGTGAACATGACGAGCGAACATCCTATAGTGTGACAAACATTAAGGTGAAAAAATAAATCTCAATAATATCAAAATTTTCCTTGATATTTCATCTAACATTAAAATATACTTTATGTAAAATCTCTACAATTTGCAACAAATCTCACAAAGATTGAAATTATTTGCAAAAAGAGTCATTTTCTCACACTATAACACTATTTTTCGATATGAGTGGGTCTTCGCTCCATTTTTTTGAAAGTTAATCCTCGAAGTTTGCATAAAAATATGCATTTTTTGGTTTCCAAAAATATGGAGCAAAGACCCACTATACCTTAAAAATATACTTTTAAGACATATCATTCGTATCTTTTCGAGAAATACTTGAAGTTCATTAAGTCAAGGGTCATAACACAAACGATTTAAATGCCACTATTCATCAGGACTTGTGTAGTCTAGTGGTTAGCGTGCTAGTCTCGAAAGAAAATGATACTCAGGATTTTTATTGCTAGGCTAATCTATGATTTTAAAAAAATATGGTATTCTTGGGGTTCGAATCCAAGCAATAAAAATTCTGCGCATGCTTAGAGACTAACACGCTCACCACAATGCTTCGCGGCTCATGAAAAATAGCGGCATTTAAACTACTTTGTGAAATGACGCTCAAATAAATGAAATTCAAATATTTCTCGGAAAGATACGAATGTTCTGCAATAAAAGTGTATTTTTAGGTAGAGTGGAACTTTGCTCTATGTTTTTGTTGATGAAATATGAATAGTTTCTCGCATACTTTGAGTATAATCTTTCAAAAAAAAAGTGCAGCGAAGACCCACTCATACTGGAAAAATTGTAATATAATATGTGAAAATGATCATTTTTGCCCTCTTTGGGGTGTATATGCTTTTAAGAGACGAATTATTTCAATCTTTGAGAGATTGTTGCAAATCGGGGAGATTTTGCATAAAGTATACATGAATATTAAATGAAATATCAAAGAAAATTTTATCATAATTGAGATTTATTTTTTTCACTTTCTAACAATTTGTCATACAATAGACATTTCCTCGCCTTGTTCGCCCATATTCTTTATACAGAAATTTAATACAATTTAATAACTAATTTAGTAACACCACAACTGCTATAAAATTTCAAATAATCAAAAGTTTTCAGCAAAAATTATATACTAATACCTCAATCTATTTTGACTTTTGCTTAAAATTACCTTTAGATATATGCAATACAATATTAAAATAAATACTGTACATAACGTCATGTCTCGTCCTTCGTCGCACTGCAAGAATGTACCGACGTCGTTATGACATGCATTTCTTCTTGGACACTAATTTTAAATTTGATGATTCACAAGATTTACGCCAAAAAAAGAATGAATTTACCAATAGAATTTGGACAAATTTCAAACAATTTTAATACTACAACTCAAAACAAGATGGCTTATTGCAAATTAGCAGTAAAGACTTTTAAAAGAAAATGAGTGCCGAAAAGTAACGTCATAACGACGTCGGTTAACATTCTTGCCATGCAGCGAAAAACAAAATCTAAGTTGTGTTTAATATTTTAAAAAGTACTGTATTTTATATGTTGCATTAAATTTAAAGGCAAAATAGGAAATACGGGTATTTATGAATATACTTCACAAGATTTTGAATTTACATCACAGGACTTACGAATAAAGCAACGTTTTACACACCATAGGTATTAGTATACGTCAAATTTTGTTGATCACATTTGATTATTAAAGCCTTTATAGCAGTTGTGACACTACTTTTAGATTAGCCCTCGTATTTCCATTGAAAAAAAAATCATGAAGGCATTACATGATATTGTTCACCCAGGCATATTTCATGTGAAGAGTCGATTACTTAACCCAGTCAAATTAGCTTTTGCTCATGAACGTACTCGGGGGTGAAAAGCACCAGTTCATAATTATCCTCATGAACTTATTTTTTTTTTTTTTATCTGTAGTCTGTCCCTAACTCTAGCCCTAGTCTTCATTTATTTCATTTGAACAGTTGTAATTGTCAAATTAAACCGACCGTTTGGTTTATTTCCCTCATACCTATAAAGTTTTCAGTAACGCCGACTGTAATCATCGGATGTACATGTAGTTCATGTGGATGTGTTTGTAGAATAAAGAAATCAAAGAAATACAGATAAATCATATTTCATGTAAATGTAAATATATATGTTCTGGATGCTGATTTAAAAGACTGAAGCATATAAATGTACTTCGCCATTAGATGAATGGCCATACAAAATCTTCGCGGTTCTTGAAAAAGAGCTTTTTCTAAAGCGGCGGAGAGTGATTCTAACATTGATTTTGGTTTTTCCTTTTGTCATTGTCACAAAACATCTAACATATTGTTCCTCAATGACGTATATCACACGTCTATTTTCAGAAATCTGTTTTCAGTTTAACTTCAATTTTAGCAATTTATATTATTTTTGCTCATTTAAATTTTATTTATGCATGAACCAAAATCGAATTGAACAAAAACTATTGTACTATATATTTTTATCTTTATTGGAATAAAACTGAACTTGCTGGATTTATTTGAAAGGGGTTAATATGCTTATTTGGTAAAGCTATTTTTTTTTCAAAATCAATTTCTTTTCATTTTTTCCAATGATGGTAAAGATCCATGAACAGTAATGAATTTACTGTATTTTCCTATTTATTGCAATCTCATATGTTTTAAAGCAGTGACACATTGTAATGAATGAAATTTAAAGAAATCATTTTGGTTATGACAATATCCATGCATGTTTATTTATGGATTTTTTTCTTACGATGTTTATGGGATTTTTTCTTACGATGTTTATGGGATTTTATTTTTTCTTACGATATCTTACATTTAAATTTTTCTGCCACCGGAGTGAAAATTCACGAATAATTTTTCTACCTAAGTTGAAGCTTTTACTCCACATCAAAGAAATTTGCTGTATTGGGACCTTTTCTACCGAAAATTATACAGGAGACAAAAAAAAAAAAAAAAAAAAAAAACAGTTACACTGAAAGGTTTATTTGCCAAAAACTTCAGACTCGAGGGAAGGGGAGGGGGACATGATTTGAAAAGATATGAAGCTACACGTCATGGAGATACTTACATATTTATAATGTGACAATTCTGGAAAAAATATTTTTAATTATCTTTGGTCTGGGAGCCATGAAAACTCCCAATTTTAATCTACAATTCAACGGGATATTTACATAATAATTTGACCGGTCATTGTCCTTCCTGTCCAGAGATGTAGAATTTAAAATTTTTTTTTTTCTTTATACATTCCCATGTAAAATTTTTGACCCAATAATGTAAAATATGAACACATAGATGATGGACAAACTTGGGGGAAAAATCCTCGTCTCAGTTAACAAAATATTTGCCAACGGAGAAAAACTGGAAGTGTTTACCAATGAGAAAAACAATTATTGATAAAGACCTAGATGTGATAATTTGTTGACAGTTAAATGTGATTCCTATTTGCAGAAAATATATGAAAATAATTTGATGAGATGTAGACCTTTTGAGTATCGTCTAGCCATTGTATTTGTACCAATCGTTTTCCCAAAGATGACATACCAAAGCCGATATTAAAATCGATCCAATCCTGTTGAATGTTTAATCAGCATTACGAGGAGTTTATCCTTTATTATATAGGGTCTAACTAATTGCCTATCTTTTAAATGCCTCTTTCCATGAAACTGACTTGGACGACGCATGCTCCATTTTCATCAGCTGAGGAAACTGGACTTCTGCCTCTCGATAAATCTCAAATCACATGTCGCCAGGCTAGTGCTCATTGACACATTGATTTTGGTGGACTGGGAACAGTATATCATATAGCTATCGTAAAAAACTCGTACATATTGTGGACACGTCACGGCCTCATTGGACCCTAAATAACGAGAAAACCCCAAAGTATTGACTTGCTATGTTCCGCTGAGGTCTTCCTCTCTCATAACTTAGAAGGTGCAACAATTGGAAAACTTGGTTTTTAAAATTGGTAATTTTCGACAGGTACGATGGCCCATGTCAGAATATCGGCAGCTAACAGCATAAAACAGAAGTACAATGTGCGCCGCGCCTCGGCACCCGTCCAGACGCACCACATGGTTGTAAAGGTAAGCAATATTTAGTTTTTAATTTTCTATATTCCAAATAAAAGGTGCCTACATAAGAAGGGGGACATAGAAAATATATACGTGTTTATGTATCACAACTTAGGACACACACCGGCTCGAGGCTAGGGGGGTCAAAGGACTGTCTGGAGTAGGGGCTAATGGGAAACAGTTTGCCGGTTTGTATCTTAAATCAGGACTCTCACCAGCGCTATGCTGGAAGGTTCGAGGAAGTGTCTGGAGTCAGGGCTATTAATGAAATGTTTCCCAGTCTGTATCTTAAATCAGGACTCACCAGCGCTATGCTGGAAGGTTCGAGGAAGTGTCTGGAGTCAGGGCTATTAATGAAATGTTTCCCAGTCTGTATCTTAAATCAGGACTCACCAGCGCTATGCTGGAAGGTTCGTGGGACTCTGGAGTCAGGGCTGTAATAATGAAATGTTTCCCAGTCTGTATCATCACTGCAATTTGTTATCTCGATTTTTCCTTATATTTAAAATTGTACAGTTTATTATTCCTAGCACATGATTGTTGATTGCACAATACTTATGAGATTTGTTATCTCGATTTGCCCATATATTTAAAAAAGTATAGCTATAAAGTAGACTCTTCATGGTTATTGCACTACGCATGAAAGGTCATTGTACTCAAAGAGGCAAGACTGTTGCTCCGTTCCAAGATATCTGCACACCACGTGACAAGTCTATGTGTAGATAGTACTCCGTGCTGTACAAGTGTATTATACAGCTTCTTCAAATTAATCTCTGATCTGATCTAGGGATTAAAAAATTATTATTCAATTAAATTTTTTTTTTTTTTGGTTCAAAATGCTAACTTTTTTAAAGTTAGCATCTTTAACTTTGAACTTCTAAGAAGTATCTTCAATTTCTACCTTAATTAGAATCATTAATTTTTCATCTTAGCATTATCCATTTTAAATGTTTGTACGGGCTTCCGTATATTTATCATGTATTCGACATTATTTTAAAACCATTCACCTGCATCTGTATCTCTGTACATGTATACTGTCTGCAGAAAATACACTAAATTGGGATGTTTTTGCCGACTGCGAGGCAGAGCGACATCTAGGGATCATTTTGACCTATGTCTGATACTATATCAGTGAGTGTCATTTTTTTAAAAATAAAATGTTAGTTTTAGCTTATATTTTTGGATATGTACTAGAAAAATATTTCATGACTAAAAGTCGAAGAACCTTTGGGGTACGGAGTGGGGAGGGGGAGGAAAGTCCTGTTTCCAAGCACCTGTGCACAATTTGAATTGGCAAATTGCAAGTTTACGAAATACACGTGAGCATTGACAGAATTTGCATTTACATTTTACAAATGACAAGTTTACTTAAGCTAGATAGTTACTATTATGACATTCTGATTTACAATTTACAAATTAAGGTTTATATGTGTACATTTTAAGAATTAGAGTTGGAATTTTGTTTACGTTGGCTTTCCATATATACTTACACATCCTATAATTCTTTATTAATGTCCTACTAATAAAACAAGATCTAGAGTGCCTTATCAAGTTATTTACAAATTAAATATTGTAAGCATTAACTAAGCGGAGACAGCTCGATATCGATCGTACATGTACAACAGAATTTTAAACGAATTATCACAATTCGCAATATCGCAATTTATAAGAGGGGGTCTACTATATCTCAAACATTCCGAAGGGAAGAAATTCTACGAAAAGAGGAAAAGTTTTATTGCAATCATTTTTAGGGGGTAGATTTGCAATATCATTTCTTCCGTATACGTATATGCATATATCCCGGGGAATTGTTGCTATATAGCAAAATCTCTGCAAGGGGGAACATTTGCTATAGAACAGCGTCCGTCTGTCACACTATATATCTTAAGAACTGTAAGGGATAGGGATTGGTACAAAGGTTCTGGGGGAAAAAACAAGGGTAACTGACCTCATGGCCTTTAACTTGACCTTTGATCTGCTTTTCAACTTATTCTTTGAACTGTGAGAAGTAAGTCGGAGATATTTAGCACGCGCACTGCTTATCATAAAACCTTTTGAAGTTTTCAAACAAAGCACTTACAGTCCAGTACACTTGTGATACATTCTGTATCATCATTGGAACCCACGGACTTGTATGCAGAAGTGAAGAAAGTGAAACCTAGCGCGTTTACTTGGAGCAAATGGTTTGCGCTGAAATGATTAACCCCTTTTTAAATTACTCAAAAAATTTGTGTAGCCAAAGTGAATAAATTAATCTTATACTTTTATTTTGTTTATTAATGTTTTAGTTTAGAATTGTTCATCAAATCATAAAATACAAGTTTAGACAAAGATTGACAGATGGTTTGGTTTGAACATATTTTATTGTAATTTATGATTAAAAAGGGATTGGGCACAAGTTCTGAAAACTTATTACGCCCTCTCCCCACATGTAAATTACACATTTAATCGTCACAGTTAAACATGAAGTTTTAAAGTATATACAATATTTGCAAAAGTTTACAAATCGATGCATTTTGCAGATATATAGATGCACTTAATTTTGTACAAATGCATATACTGATACATTAATTAATGCTAACAAGGAAATCTACCAGAATGTTTAATAAATGTTTGAACAAAAGAAAAGAGACGTATAATAATAAGACATGTCTATCTAGAATGTGGATTAAATTTCAAATTGTAAACATTTATCTAAAAATTCCTTTCTGGCTTCTCATACTTTGGACATACAAAAAAATAATGATATGTATCCTCAACTTTACCACACGAGCATAAAGGACTTGATATTAAACTGCATCTATAAAGGTTCGCTATTCAATACACAATTATGCAGAAGTCTGGTTTGAAGAACATTTAGTCGTCTGTTAACGTAATCAAAGTATGATGGTGAAGCAGATTTTTTAGTACTAATTTAAGATTTGAATTTTGACATTGACTGTAAATTTCGAGTGGAATTGAGTTCCATTCGTTAACTACAGTCGGAATAAATGTAGACTTATAACTTTGTAATCGACATTTTGGAATATCATAATTTTTAGAATTTCTTGTAGAGTAGATAGATGTGTTACAGCGCATATCTGGAAGTATGTCCATTAAGTATTCGCCGGGCACTAAATTATCAAGAAGCTTGAACATTGTTTTTATTCTAGCTTTTTGTCTTCTACAACTACGAGGTTCCCATCCCGTTTCAAAGTAGAGTGAATCTTTAGAAGCTATAGTTGTTAACCCTGTTACAATTCTAGCAGCATAAAGTTGCAGCTTTTCTAACATATCGTTATCACTATGTTGACAGCATCCCCATACCACTGAAGCGTATTCAAGTTCCGGTCTTATGAATGACGTATACATGAGTGAGATTGACAGATAAAATTAATCTCATTCCTGATGCAAGCAAACATGGACATTTTATCCCAAAAGCTCGACTTTTGAAAGTTTACTGGTGTTAAGTAAATTATTTCTCTCATGGTTTAACTTTTTTTCTTATTTTATACTGGAAGATAGTGGAAATCAATATTTCTAAATGATTGTCACATCTTATTACAAATACAAGTACTATAGCTGCATCACAGTTTCAACTTTCTGCAGATGTTTTCTTACTTTTTAAGTACATACATACATGTACATGAATTGTAATACTAAATTATAATGCTAAATGCAAAAAATTAAAAGCTGACCACTCTTCAGTCTTATTTATAACATTGAAGTTGCATTTTCAGGCGACAAAAATTTGTGTCTTGGAACACTCCATAGAAAAATTTGTGTCTTGGAACACTCCATAGAAAAATTTGTGTCTTGGAACACTCCGTAGAAAATGACGCGTCAGGGCAATCCTAAATATCTTCTTGTAAAAGAAAGTCACGACTGAAAAAACGGTGCACCAAGTACCGGTATATTGAGAACAATAACTAAACGTATGAAATATGACATGACACGATGCATACAGGAATTTGAAAATTAAAACAGCATTTACGTAAGTCCAATACAGAAATATAACGCAGAGATCAAGTAACGCGTATCAATTACATGTATATTATTAAACAGTTACAACTCAAACACATAAAATTCTAAAATAAAAACAATCTTTTCATATACTAAAGGGATGGATGCTGGACTATATTGGAAAGTGAGTATATAAATTTCTTTAGTTGTACAGAGTTTAATCGAACATTACTTTTATTTTTAATATTTTATAATGCAAGGAAGCAAAAGATCAAATAATCTGGGAACAATATTCCATATTTATTTTGTATTGGTATAAAAATATAGTAATGAAAGCTTGTTGATTCACATTTTTTCAAAATTAAATATGATTACGTTGTATCTTTTCAACAAACCAATACCTTTGTTTAAAAATAACAAACTATAAATCCAAATCAGTAGAAAAATGTTCATAATTTATGAATAACGTCCAAAGACATGGTTAGGAATAATGCTGGCTAATTGGATTAGTGCGGCTTATTTCTTCTCCATTTTGTAATTGTTGTCGCAAAAATTCTTTCCACGTCTTGGTCATTTTCATAATACATTCTAGGACCGTTGTTAGAATATCAGTATATAGATAAACTGATAAAAAGTATTGATTATATATTCCTCCTAAAATGTTTAAAATATATTCTAAATAACACCTATAATTCTAACTACATAAAACCAAGCAGACCTCCTTAGGTAATCGTACTGTATGTACAATACCCAGAATTTGTAATGGCAGTCCATTATTAGTGTGAATATATCCAAAAATAACGGATTGTAGATCATTAGAGCTTCAATTTCACCTCGTTGAAAACACAGATTTACCAAGCAAAGTTCACGCAAAGCAAAGAGCACATGGGAAAGAAAATAATCCCTGCCAGTATACTAGTAATCAGGCCTAGATAGATAAATTGTGCGTTTCCGATTCCTCGATCGACCGTAAATTATATGAGCCAACCCTGAATTTTTTTCTGACGTTGTATAATTTCTGGAAGTAAACAATTCTGGTTTCACTATTAAAATCCTAATATTGGTCTTTT